TTGAGCTCTCCTCTTACACTAAGGGTAAGAGCTGGAACAACCATATGATAAAATACACACAGAAAAGGCCAAATGGGTAAGACAGAAGAAAGCAGCTAAACAGACACATCCAGCAGAGCTGAATTATCCATTTTTCCATTCCTCTGCCCTGTCATGAAACAGGCCAAGGACAGCTCTATGCCCCAGAGGATGCTGTGCTCAGATACACCCTTGCACACCAACAACTCATCACTCCTCAGCACACACTTCTTGACTGAAGACTTGTCCCTTCTGGGGTTTCCTTTAAGCCATTCTTCATGTTACTGCAATTCAGTGAGCAGCCCTAAGTTATGGCTCCTGAACATGTGGGCTATGTGCCCACAATGCCAAACACAGAGACAGCTTCAACAAATGCTAAGAGAAATTCTAAAATGCATTAAAGATCAGCACAGTATTCTTCTGAATGAGCCTCACAATCTGGCAGGGCTCCTTCCAACATCAATATCAATTTCCTCCATCAACAGGAGACAGAATAATAGCAACTTCCTCTGTTTAATACAGCCCTTAATTGTCCCAGATCAAATACTGGCTCCCAGAGGCTATTCATTCTGCTCTATAGGTAACTGTGTCCTAGACAAGATGCAAGAACTTTTATCAGCAAATTTAAAACGCAGCAGGAAAGCCAGAAGGTGTGTCTCAGGACTGCTAAAAACATTAACCAACCACATCAGTGCACTGGCTCTAATGGAACTCACAAAGCACTGCTGGGAGCAGCACAGGCACTCCAGTGACCAGAAAACACTTGCAGGAGAAAACTCCTGCTTATCTGAGAGGCAGCAAATCCATAAAACCACTGTCAGATCAGGGTTTTTTTTCCTTTTTGTATCAGCTCCATGATGCCTCTGATCCCCCTCTTAATGACAAAGTCCTCACTGATTTCAAGAGAACTCAGCAAGACTGAGCAGAAAAAGAACTAAAAAAGGAAATGCCAAGTGAGTCATTAGTGGGTGGAGAAAAGAACCGTATAGTAAGTAGTCTTCAGCTTTTACTCCTTTAAAATAAACAGTGCCACAAATTGAAGGAATCTTTTGACACTAGTGAAGATGGAGCAGTAACAAGCCTTGCACAGTCTGTAGGAATGATGAATTCCTACACTCAAAGGGGTTACTTATGCCAGATGCCAATAAGCACACAGGTAAAATTAATCTGCTTGTTTGGAAACCTCTAGATGGAAGTTCCAATATGAAATACAAGATTAGACTCGGAGAGAAGCAAGAAAACCAGCACCAAACCAGAATATTTTTCCCAATTTCAAACAGCTAAGAAAATTCCTTTATTTTTTCCATCTTTTGGCTGCTACTGCCTGCATTATGACCTTTGAGTCAAGCAGGTGCTCAGATGCTGAAATGGGGGGAGAGTTTCTTCCCCATCATCATGTTTTACATGACCAGCAACGTGTTCAAGTGAAAGGTGTCCCTACCCATGGCATGGGGTAGGAGCTGGATCACCTTTGAGGTCCTTTCCAACCCAAACTGTTCTATGACTATCATTAACCAGAGCAGGCATGGTGCCATGATCTTTCTAACCCTGCTACAGCACAAATATGTTCCCTCTGGAACATACTTCGGTGTGTACTTTCACACCCTCATCTCTTTGATTCATTTTGTCCTGGCTCACCAAAACACAGCCCTTTCTCCTAGACCTGGTTACTACAGCAACAGAATCTCTTTGATTTTGGTAGCAACACACTGAAGGCACCAAAAAAATCTGCCATTAGTTCAAGAAACATGAAGCTGCAGGTCAGCAGCCCATGCAGAGAAGTATTGCTGTAGTATCTCGCCCCTGCCTCTCTAATTAAGAAACTCTAAGAATCCCCACCTCCTCGGCAGAGCACAAGCCTGAGCAACCTCTCTCTTCAAAGGATGCACAACAGAGGTGCACAGCCCACAACATCCTGTGTGCCTGTCACTGCAGAGAAACCACAGGAGAAATCTGATGGGTTCATAGCCACAAGAATATTACACTCCACAGGTGCTATTAGTTCCACTAATGATTAAAGCTAAAGCATCACTTCAAATTCCATATGGTATCACATCTGCATTCTTCTGCACACACATGAGAATTAACACACAAAAAGGAAGATTTGAGGGGTGTTCTCGGGGTTTGGACTTCTTTTTTTTATAACTAGAGAAGCTGTCCTGTATTGTTATTTCACTGCAAAGTGTATTAGCTATTATATTATTACTCCACTTAACTTTCATACAACTCAGAAGGAGAAAAAAAAAAACCCTCTCAGTACAAGCAGTTATTTCTATCTAATTCACTGCCTTGGGACAGGAGGGTTTTTATTGCAGAAGTGAACAATGACTAGTCCTTAGCTGTCAGGCTGAGAGACTGCTGCTAACCCTCAGCTACAGTCCAGCCCAGTGCAGCACACACAGACTCAACATGAGCAATACACCAAGGACAGCACCAACTGGTCAATCTGATCATTTCTCAGCAGCAGCCAGTCATTCTAGAAAGTTCAGCCAGACTATTATCACTGTTATTAATTAGTTTGTATCCTGAGAGAATGATCTATGCCAGACTTGCCCCCAATTTCAACTAAGGGAACTTACCCAAAAACATTTCATCTGGTCACACACAGCCCCCACTGAGTGAGTGTGCTATTATGAGAAAGCAAACTGATATAAATATAGCACAGTGACAGTATCCACTCTGCAGTTATTTCCTCTGCGAAACAGAGCAGAATGAAGTGGGTAAGCTGCTCAGCCACCTTTCTTCTAAGGCCACTGAAAACTGCATTGATGACATCAACAAAAATTATCAGTTAAAGACAGATCTGAGCAAATAATTCCCAAACAACACTTCAACCGAGAAATCTGACCTCCTCTCGAGTATCCACCAATGTAAGATGATACTTCCACTTGTTTCTTCTCCATTTATATTCATTCATGGAATAGATTTTTTTCCTGGTAGCTTTTATTTTCACTAGCCAAATTGATTGCAAGGTGATAGATGAATTAATCATCCAATATCTGAAGCTCTACTTGTGATGGATAAGCTAGGACAGGGCAGAAATTAAACTTAATTGGTGACTGAGTGTGCATACACAGGCACTCCTCTGTAATCCACAATTCAGATGTAGAAATTCAGGTTATGATTTCCATAGCTAAAGCCAGAAACCAATCAACCCTAAAATGCTTGGGGTTTTGTGGTGGGGTTGTGGGTTTTTTTTTCCTTTGTTTGTTTTTAAACTCCACATGTAGTAACAAATATGGTTAGACAACATCCTTGTCTCTGCAGAAAAAATAAAAAAAGAGCATATAGTAAGCAGAAATAATTTTCTGGAAGCATTTTCCCAGCTACAGTTGAACTGCCAACTTTAAACACGTTATTTTAGCATACAAGATGAATGTAGCTCAGGAAGAAGAATCACTCTTCCTAATCCTCCTCTCATGCACCCTCCTCCAGCCTGTTCTCAAGACATGAAGCATTGCTTAAAAAATGCCCACGGAACAGACTGAAAGAAGTTGCTGCTCCTCTATATAGTTATTTATAATAGATAATCTTAGAATCACTCTTAATTCCAGCTCATCATTTATGGTGTTGGCACAGTTGCTCCAGTGAATTTGGTCTCATTATTCACCTTTGGGTTGTACATTATCTTGCATTTTATACATCATCCCTCTTTGTCCAGTGGATCCCTCACAAACACTTACAGAACCAGGTGAAGATGAATAATGACCCAAGGACAAAGCTAAATGCTGAAATACTATGATTTTATGGCCAGCTAGAGAAAAGCACGGACATGTTTTGAATACCCAGACAAAGCTCTAAGTGAAGCAGCAATAAATCCATGAATGCCACACTATGTAGTGACTTTCCACCAGGCTTCTGCACTATCCCAAGACATTAAACAGCACTCAGAAAGTCAGCAGGACCGCTCAGCTTTGCTGTCAATGGCCACACTCAGCTTGGAAACTTGATAAAAATGTCTTTGGGAAAAAAATCCAAAGATGAATAGGATCATCCACTCAGCTGAAAGTCACACCAAGGCGGGGATGATGGAACAAGTGCACACTTTTGGTTACCAGGATTATAGTAACAAGTGCAGAAGGATCTCATTAATGGCAGCACACATACTGATTTATTCCATTGGAGCAGTTTACCTAGTGACAAGTCCTGCAGAAAAAGGAATGGGCCAAGCTGGTACATTTTTTTAAAGAAAACTTTACCAACAGCATCTGCTTTAAACCTGCTGGGAGGGGGAACTACTGCTGAAACCCATAAGCACTTTACCCCAATAACTGAGATGTTTCACTGGGGAATCAAAGGCAAATTTCACAGCGTAACCATCTGGAAGAATTTTGCAACATGATCACCAGAACCATGAGTTCTACTCCAGGCTCATTGTATCTCAAAATAGACCTCACATAGCTTCCACATCCCATTCCGTTACAGGGATCACATTATCAAGGGTCCTGCCACAGCATCCTGGGTCACAGCACCTACTCTGTAACTGGCACTTCCTTGCTGAAATGTGACAGTGGCAGTGACAACACGTGTGTCCTCTCAGTCTCCTTAGTCTGCAGTGATCACTCAGACATATGCTTTGCAACAGGAAGAGAACCAGGGTATCATGGAGGGGGAAAAAAGCAAAATAAAAAAAAAAAAATCAATCATCATCACACACACCACTTGAAAATTCTTCAGCTAAAACTGAGCCAGAAGCCACCAATATAAGAATTTAAAGCAATCTGGGCAACACTAAAGAAGGAATGAGCATCTTCCCAATCATCATGGCTGCCAACCTTTACCACTGCTACAACATAAGCAAACACTACTGTGCTTCTCTGCTGCTTGATGCAGAGACCCATGCCAAGTCACTTTCACAAGCACAGCAGCACGTGGAGAAGAAGCCTTGAGGCATCCCTTGCACTGGCATCAAACAGGGAACAAGAGGCAGATGCCAGCCCACAAGGAAAGCCTTCTGTGAGAAGAAGTTCAGGGAGCCTTACCTATGTACAGGGAGGAATCTTTCCGCCTCACGTGGTCATCGATGTAGGAAACTCCCAGGGGCTGGACAGGGGTAGCACCAATGCCCAGGAGGACCTGTGCCCCGATGAGCAGCAAGTACATCATGTTGGTGGCAGTCCTATTCCTGCAGATAAGGTCTGGGTCTGGTCCCTCATCGCTGCTGGACCCATTGACAGCACACACATCCCTCCCTTCAGCTCCCCAGCGTATTTCTCCCGATTCATATTCGTACTGGTGGGTCAGAAATTCAGGCAAGGCAGAAAGGAGGGCACCCAAGGCCATGACTATCCCTCCACATCCTATCAAGCGTGGCCGGTGTCCCCGGGCTCCGAAGTAGCTCACGAAGAGGATGAGGGCCAGGTTGCCAATCTCGAAGCTGCTGGCAATGACGCCCACGTCAGCGCTCTGGAGGTTGAATCGCCGCTCCAAGGTGGTTAAAACACTCACCTACAACAGAGAAATACAGAGAAAATTACATCCCGTGCCTTCCATTCTCCCTGTATGTACTGCTAAAGTGTGAATTTCCTTGACTTCTCCTTGGAGCCGAAAGCGTACCCAGCAAGGACATTCAAATCACAGTACAGTAGCTGACCTCCAAGCATGACCTGACTGCTCAAAAACAGCCACACCAGAAGGTCCTAATACCAAGTGACATTTCACAGCCTACCACCTGTCTGAGCACATGTCACTTCCGAATTCCTGTGCCCATCAGTGTGTATTTTAGATGCCTGCAGACACCCATGATTCCACGATTCATTAGTGTGTCTTTGGGCTCCCTTTCTAATTGATGGCACAACCTTCATGGTGCACAGTCCCACAGAACCAAGGCACAAACCACACTGAGCTTCACAATCTGCCAGGTACTCGACCTTTCCCTTGGAATGAACTGCAGTTAGGGAGCAGCAGAAAACCCTGCAGATTCTGTGCTTGCACACCAGCACAAGGACATAGAGCCACTCAGGGATAGTGATGTACACACAGGCACTTTAGCTGGCATTGAATGCTTTTACTCAAGTATATAAATAAAATGCTGATCAAAGGGTTTAAACTGTTTGTGGATTAGTTAATGACTGCGATGGTCACAGAGTATTTTTGAGAAGACAGGCCAATTAAGGTTTACATAGAAGTTTTAAATCCACCATGAAGAAGGAATGATTTAACAAATTGTGGGTATTTAACACTAAGAAGAGAGAAGCACATGAATAGTCTTCAAATATTTAACATTGCTGCAAAAAGGAATGGCCTGTTCTTTGAATTCAAAATGAATGGGACAGAAGTGACAAGTTTAAACTGCAGCAGAGATGATTCAGGTTAGATAGAAGGTGGGCAGAAACCACATTTTACTGGTAGGGATTGTGAGGCACTGAAATATGCTGCCTGGAAAGGCTGCAGAGGTCTTTAACAGAGCACAGACCAGCGTCTGTCAGGAAAGACACAGGTATGACTGATCTTGCCATGGGGCAGGAAAATGAACAAGATCATCTCTTGAGAGCTCTTCCAATCTTGATTACATGGTGCAGTGAAACACAATGTGGATTTTCTGCAACAGTCACAGCACTGATCAAAGCATGAAGGATGAACCATTAAGTACCTCACTTGCTGTCAGCCCTGCTCAAGGGAGAAAACAGAGTATTCTCATGTCTATGGCAGTGTCCCTCTTCTACAGTAAAAAAGCAACAAAAGAAATCTTGAAGGTGTCACAGAAATGCCAAAAACTTTTACCTTGAATAAAAAACTATCTAGTTTTTCAGGCTGCAAAAGATGAAGGTATTTAAGGTTGTCCTAAAAGAGGCAGGTTTCTTTATTCCAAAAAAAAGTGATAAAGACCTCAGAGAAGAAGGTAGCCCCTGGATAGAATAAAAATAGCCTCCCACTGGAGGCACTGAAAATCTTTGCTGATAAACCTCACGAAGCAGGAGCCAGCCTGACCGACTTTAAAGTATTCTGACAGCAGTTCTTGTCCGGGGGCAGTTTGCCTCTGCTAGGGTACACCAGGGCACAGTTGGACAAAGACAGCCCCACTGGCAACAAAATGGGAAAATGGAAACAACCCACTTCTGCTGCTTTGCATAAGCAAAAGCTCCCAAACCTGACTGTGATTAAGTGTCCAAGTCAGATCTCCAAAACTGGACTGTGTTAATGTTTTCTGAAAATCCAGCCTTCTTCCCATACAGAGAGCTATCATTTTATACTACCACCAATGTAATCCTCCCCAGCTAAAGAGCAAAGAGCTGAAGAAGGCAAGGAGAAAGAAAGCCAAAAATCAAATCCTATGAGTAAAGGCAGTGCAAGAGCAGTAACTCTTCCCATGCCAAAGCCAGGTGTGTGTGTCAGAGGGAGAGGAGATCACCACTTTGCCTGCCACACCAGGTGCAGGTCCCTGCTGGGATGGAAGAGCTCCATGACTCAGGAGGGACAATGGTGTCCCCTGTGCAGGGCACAGCACAGCCTGTCCCTCTCCAGCCAGCAGTGCTGGAGCAGCTCACATTTACAGAGACACTGCAGCTCCTAGCCCTCTGTGGGAGCTGAGCAGGTGAGCACAGACACTGCTATAAAACATCACACTGGTGTTTCCAGAGCAAGGCACATCAAGGAGGGGGGATACAGACAACATCCCATAGCCACAGGCACATCCACCAGGCACCCATGGGAGAGAGAACCATGGAATGGTTTGGATTGGAAGGGACCTTAAAGATCATCTACAGTTCCAAACCATCCACCATGGATAAGGATTTATCATCCATGGTTTTATTGCAAGGTGTGGTCTAATGGGGTGGTTGCTGGGAGCCCAAGAACACCAATTCTGACAGCCTGGGGGATCTCTCCAACATCAATATACATAGCTCTGAGCATGCAAAATTATGTCTGTGGTGCTCATTTCTGAGCTGTACCTAGATAGGAAACTCATGATTACTCATTACAGCTGTGTAAACTGAGGTAGAGAGCCAACTATTAATGAGTCAAGTACAGTCAACAAAATTAATTTCTGATGGAATAATTTAGACTGGAAGATTGAAAGCCAACAGAAGTGATTTCCCAAGGCCAACTGGTATTAACTAGGTTTGGAAGTCTCCCACATTTCGACCTGGCTGCCAAATTTTAGGCTTTTATGATACATATATACAAGTGGTTAGAAGGCAGGATGGTGTTTAGACATATGTGGGCGCCAGGTCTCAAAAGGGTCAGATTTTGGACAGCTGGATTTCAGACACAGAACACTGCACATTTCCAGGTGCAATTCACAGTGACAAGAGACAGTTAACTAGTGACAAACCAGGGAACTAAAACCAGAGTCCCAATTCTCATTCCACTCTTATTTCAGTGGGACTTCAGCCATTTTTTTCCTTCTTACAAAAGCTAACCCATTCACAGCAGGGGAAAAAGAGTCTCACAATCCCCTAATACTTCCTTGCTTTACTTTGGGGAAAAAACTGAAACAAAAGCAGGAAGAGGACAACAACACAGGGCAAATTCCAACCTTCTTGATAAAAGCTGGCAGTTCTCCTTATTCCTCTTCTGGCCAGACCACACTGCATTTCCCAGTTTACTCCTGGCTGCAGCACTGCTACCCAGTGCTACCAGCTCTGCCTTTGCTAAGTGGGTTATGAGGAGTGGAGGGTATGGTGAAAGAACAAATCCATCATACGAGCCTTGAGCATCCAGAAGAAAATAGCATCCAAGTAGAAAATGCTGAGACCAGCATCAGCAGAGTAGCCTCCAAATATGACAGTCACAGTGAGGGAAAAAAAAAATCCCAAAATAAAAATAGGGCTGGGAAATAAACTGTCAACATGCAGATTCTTAGCCAGAGAATAACAGGAACACAACTGCATTTTATCCAGGGTGGCTGCAGCCCAGGCAGCACAGCTCAAACTCTTACTATGACATTGGCTGTGACCTTACAAAGACCAACTACAAAATCAGCATTAGCATAGCAGAAATGTTACCTGCATTTATGCAAAATAAACCCTGCCCATGAATAAAATCATTCCCCCACCCTCCATGCTCCTTTTTTATGGGACTTCCTGCATATAAAGTTTAACCTGACTAAACTTGCAGTTTCTATGTGGGATGTTCCCAGTGCCCTTGTAACTGTGGGATAAAAACACTGTACTGCCCATATTTCCTTTCACAATCCTGTTCCTCAGCAGACCAACCATCACCACTCGCAGACACTAACTCTGTTTATCCAGAGTTACATAAAATGTTGTAAAAGACACCACAGGTCCCTGTAAAATACTGATATCACATGAAAAGGCTGTGAGGATTATAAAAAGTCCCTGTGTGCTGATGCCAGGTTGATCACCCTAGAGCACAGCCCACGTTGATGCTGTCTCAGAGCAGGGATGTGGGACATGGGATGGTGCAGCAGCACAGCATCTTCAGATGGACAACCTCCTGCTAAAACACAGCAGGGAAACACCAGCAGCCCACAGCTGTGGGCTGCTGGTGTTTCCCTGCTGTGTTTTAGCAGGAGGTTGTCCATCTGAAGATGCTTCTTCCTGACTCCTGTCAACTTACACAGCTGTTTAGTGAGGGATGGGAAGAATCGACTAAGGGGGTGTTTAGTTAAAAAAAGCTTCTAACCCAAGATCAAAACGGTTACCAGGAAGCACAGAGAGCACTCAGTAAAACCCATGCAGGCAAGATGGAGCAGATCACACAGTCTGACCCCAGGAAGTCACTGATGTGAAACCACCCACAGGACAAGACAGGCCCAGAGCAGGCACCAGAGACAGGGCCAGTGTTCCAACTGTGGAAAATGGGAACAGCACTGAAACTACAGCTGCCTATGGCAATGTGCCTGCCTGCCACCCTCATGTGCTCACATCTGTCCCTTAGCAGGTCACTGGGGCTCTGACCAGCCAGCACCTTCACTGCAGCACTGCAAGCAGCCAGCTTTGCTGCCTTCTGCCATTACTCCCATTTCACCTACTCCAGACATCTCCCACTCCATTTCCGACAGCATCTCCACTGAGATGTAGCTCCTAGACAGATCAGCTGTGTGGCTGCTGTTACTCCACAAGTTCATGCTCCTCCAGACTGGGCCTATACCAGCTGGACCACTGAAAACTACACCAGTTTGGGCACCTGCACACCTTGCTCATGCAGAAAGTCTGGGCATCTAGAAAAGATCATGTAACCCAGCCTTCTGGCTTTCTGTGAACACCCTGCAACATACAATAACCAGAAGTGATTAAAACTTGTAGCATGCTTGCACTGTCTCCTCTCACTGAGCCACAGAGGGCTGCACACACATTTGGATCAGATAACTGACATCAAACAGGCCTGGGCTAAAGGGGCCTCCTAACACCACCCTAAAACACTCTGCAATGATTGAAAAAGGAAAATGTCTCACCTAACGCACACAGTGATAAATGACCCACATCGAAAAATAAAAAAAATCAATCACCACCTTAAAATTTTCCAGCCAAAGCAATTTGTAC